CTCACTCTCTCTCTCTCTCTCTCTCTCTCTCTATATATATATATATATAATTTATCATTTTTGAAAACTAATTTCTAAAACATATTTTTAGAAATATGTAAATCTTTGAAACTTAATTTTCAGAATTCAGTTTAATAATGTTCCAACAAATAAATTTTAAGAAGTTATAAAAATACTTGCATTTTAAAATTTAGCTCTATAAATGAATATTTTACTATTTCGGAAACTAAGTTCTAAAAAAGAATTAGAATTGGGAAAATTACATTTTGCAATGAGTTCCATAAATAAGTTTTTACAAAAATAAAATACAACTCCCAAACATGTTTGCGAAACACTAATTTATAGCATGACTTAAGTCAAATGTGTTATGTTATAATTAACAAATATTTCATACGTTATTCATACTTAGAGCATTTAAGTTTGAGATTTTCCCACATTTTCATGGTTTATACTAAATCCACTTCATTCCCACTACAAGCTAGACTAAGATTAAGGAGCGCAGTAGTTGTAAAAGTTAAATATACAGGTAAAGATAAAAGAATATTAATTTGAAATGATTATAAAAATATTTTTTTTATTCATTATAAAGATGGAGAATAAATTTAAGTGTATATATATATATATATATATATATATTAATTATAAAGATAGAAAGAGAATAAAGCTGTGTGTGTAAAAAGAATAAAGAGAAGTATATGGATTTTTTCATATAAAACGCTTTTGAGATGAATGTAATTGATCTTTGGTTAAATAACTGTGAAATATCGTTACATTTAGTTCCTTATCAACAATGTTGAGATGGCCGAGTCGGTCTAAGGCGCCAGATTAAGGTTCTGGTCCGAAAGGGCGTGGGTTCAAATCCCACTCTCAACATTCGTTCTGTTGTTTTTATTCCAAATGCAGTTTTAGCTAATTAAAAAATAATAAATAAGAGTAAGGAATAATCTACTTAAAAAAGTGGAGATAATGAGTGATAAGAAATTAGTTTAAAAAGAGAAATTCGGATAATAAAATAAAGTTAGTTACAATAAGGTTGTTTTTATTCCAAATGCAGTTTTAGCTAATTAAAAAATAATAAATAAGAATAAGGAATAATCTACTAAAAAAGTGGAGATAATGAGTGATAAGAAATTAGTTTAAAAAGAGAAATTCGGATAATAAAATAAAGTTAGTTACAATAAGGTGGAGGTGAACATACCAATGTCGATGGTGATTGGAGAACAAAGAACGAGAACAAAAACGAAGAAAAGCCCTCTCCCACCAAGATTTAGGACCAATGTCGATGGTGATTGGAGAACAAAGAACGAGAACAAAAACGAAGAAAAGCCCTCTCCCACCAAGATTTAGTACCATGAGAATCATGGTCGTGATTTGGAATCAAATGTGTGATTCTCATGGACCTTTAATACCATTTGTGAAATTTGGACAGAAGTCTCGCATTGAAGTATTTTAAAATAAATTAGGACTAAATTGAAACTAAAAATCAAAGTGAGACCAAATTAAAATTTTTTAATATTATAAGGGATCAAATTAGGGTTTTAGCCAAAAAAATTACTGAAGATAAATTTTGATTGAGAGTTGTAGTGTTGGGTCTTCACGTTGGTACCACTTTATTCAAAGTTCTTTTTATATTTTTTGTTTATGTTTTTGTCCTTTTCTACACATGTATGAGTAATCCATGATGTGTTTTTGTATCAATTATTCAAAGTGGATTTTTATTTTGAAAAATAGAAACTTAGCTCATATCTAGAGCTGCCAAAACAGGTAACCCGGCCCGACCCATCACGGGTTGATCATTTGGTGGGCTAATTCAACCTGGCTCATTTATTAGTGAGCTGAAAAAAATTAAACCCGGTCCGACCCACTACGGGTTGGCTCACCTAATTTAAAAAAAATGTAATTTTTTTTATTTACTTTTTTTTAATATACAATTAAAGTCCAAAAAACTCACGATGGCTCGTAGTGGCTCACGGTGCACGTAGTGTGGCGCGGTGGCTGGCGGTGGCTCGTGGCTTGTAGTGCCTCACGGTGCATGCGACGGCTTGCAGTGCGCGTGGTGGCTTGTGGTGTGGTGCGGTGGCAACTATGCGGAGCGATGCGATGTGGTGGCAGTTATGCAGTGCGGTGTGGTGTGGTGGCAACTATGGTGGATTGGTGGCTAGTGTGGTGGCAGCTATGGTGGATTGGTGGTTAGTGTGGTGCTGTGCGGTGTGAGAGTGAAAGGGTCTGTTGAGGGTGTGAGAGTGAGAGTGTGTGAACTGACGTGATTTCTCAAATGAAACCCTAATGGGCTGCATTGGCCCAATAACTATTCATTTTTTTTATTACGGGTTGGTGGGTCAGTCCAGCTCACCACGGGTTCAATCCCGGGTGAGCCGAGTTCAAAATTAGCCCGTACTGAAATTTTTAATTGTTTTTTTTGCCCAACCCGGCTCAAACTCGTGGTGGGCCGGGTTGACTCACCGGGCTAAGCTCACTTTGACAGCTCTACTCTTATCATTAAGAATATCATAAACGATACAATTTGGAATGTGAAAAAAATCACAAAGATTTGCACTATCTATTGCTGCTTTAGCAAGCTTATGAGTAACAATGTTGGCAGATCTAGGGGAGAAACTCACATGAGAGTTTGGGGATAATAGGCTTACATTGGTCAAGAAAGTAACCAAATTCAGTTACATCAACAAAATGCTGATTGGAGAAATAGGATGAGATACGATTACAATCTGTTTCAAAAATAATATTCTCCAAGTTCTGGTTATGAGTCCAATTGATGGCATGAAGAAAAGCAAAAACTTTACCAACGTGAGACTCCGCACAACCTTTGATCATGGTTGAACGGGCTCTAATAAAAGCATCTTGATAGTCTCTAATGCAAATGCCAATTCTCGTAAGCCCTTCTACCGAAAAAGAATGAGTGGCAATGTTGCACTTGAGCAACATTCAAGATAAATTCTTAATAATATATTATAATGATAATTTTAATTCGTAATGATATTTTATTTTCACAAAACGAAATTATTAAAGAAGTTTTTCAAACTTGTTTCATATAAGACACACAAGATGCAATTTTTTTTTCAAGTGTCAATCTCTTAATATCCACCAATTTAATGATTTTCTTAAATTTAACTTCAAATGGAATAATAAAAAATTAACTAAAATAAATACCAATAGATGGTAAATATTGACACGTGTCACTTCAGGTGACAATCTATTTATTATTTTAGTTTAAATGGAATGGAATAACAAAAGGTAATTAAAAGTGTCAATATAATTTAAATTTAAATTAACATTCATTGGAAAACAAAAAAGGGAAACGAAAGCCAAAAAGCATTTAATGTATTGCAGGAAATAAGATAGAATTAGGCACAATGGAAGGCACAGATTTTACGATGAAAAAGTGAACCTAGAAGCTAAAAAGTTAACTGGGAAAACTGAGCCTCTGAAATGGAGAAGAAGGAAAGTTCTTCAGCAACTGACATATATGCATGCAGAAGAAGAATGCTGGAAGTGGAAATTGCAAGGGCTAAAGTGAGACGTTTGAAAACTATATACGCTTTCGATGTTACACTTGATGTATTCACTGTTCAATGAGTTTAACCATATTTCTTTGTATGTAGTTTAAACTATAGAAAAAATATATCATAAGAACGTTATATATTTTACATAAAATAACATTAACACCGAAATTACTACATAAGATTAATTCAATAGAAATAACACATAAATATATTAATGTTTAATATATATATTACACATAGATATATTTTTTAAAACAAAAAAAAATATTTGACCCTAAATTTTAAAAGTTGCTAATCAGGTTCTCCCACAAAAGTCAGTAAAATTTTTACACTAATAATAACATGATGACCCAAAAAATACTAATTTATAATAGAATAATTTTTTTTGCACATTTTGTAAATTAAGTTTTAAAATTTATAACATTTTTTGAAAAATTCAAAAACTATTAGCATCACTACTTTCGCTAGTGTAAGAAACAATTTTAACATCGGAGATTTAAAATCAGTTATCTCTATCCGATTTTAAATCTCACGTAGCATAATTAAAATTAAATTAAATATTTATTAAAAACTCCTTTGAAAGAAGCCATAATTAAAATTTTGATGAAGAGTAGTCCTACATGTAAAATCTTCATGGATAATGATATATACACCATTTTTAATTTTTTTTTATAAGGTATACTCTCTTTTTTTTTAAAATAATTAAATTCTTAAAATATTCTTAATTTTTATTATTTTTAATTTTTTAATTTTTCACTCCTAATATTTAATTTAACATTTTTTTAAATATCTCTTTCCTTTATTTTCACATGAATCTTCTTAATTTTTCTTTACCCCCACCTATTTTGATAGGTAATTTTAATTTTTTTAGTTTTACATTATTATTATTTTTTCTCTTTCAGTTTTCTCACTGATTTCACTATCCGCGTAGTACTCTAGAATAGTGAAAATGTCTTTTTCATAACACTAAACTTAATGTTAAGGTTTTTGGAGGGGTGAAAGGAAAGGAAGTGTTAGAAGAAAAAATATGTCTAGTTTGATAGAAATAGTCGAGGAAGTTACACGTACTTACAATATTGTCGTCTACCAATTTTATAATTTTGGTGCATGTGAAAAAGTGAAAGACATGAGAAAATAAGAAGGTAATATAAAAATCAAAAGAACTAAAACTATCCACTAAAATAGGTGAGAAATTAGAGGAAGACAAGATAGTGCATGTAAAAATTGAAAAAAAGAAAGAAGGAGATATGTGAAAAGAAAAAAATAATAAATTAAAAGTTAGATATATAAAATTAAAAATTTAAAAAAGAAAAAATATAAATATTTTAAGATTTTAAAAAAATAAAAATAAAGGAGGTGTCTTATACAAAAAAAAATGATGTATATATCATTAGCCAATCTTTATTTGTTGTTGCATGTTTTACGTCCCTTAGCACTCACTGTACTTGCACAATATCTTATTAGAATAATGGCCCAGTGGACTCCCATTGTAGCGGCTCAATGAATTCCCGTTGTAACGGCCCAATGGATTCACGTAGTCCCCTCTAGTTTAGCGCTAAAATTCCTATTTTCCCAGTTCCAAAGGTTCGGCTTCAGCGGTTGGAAAAGGAAACGAGTTCATTCGTCGTGGTGGATCATGGAGGAGCAACACGATAGCGAGAACGCGAGAGTGGGAACAACGAAGCAGAAGAAGAAAGCCGAATACGAGTTCTGCAAAGCGTGCAACATAAACCACAACCAAGGTCTCCGCCACAAGTACTTCCCCAACCACAAGAAATCCCTCTCCACCTTCCTCTCTCGCTTCCGCAACAAGCTCTCCGACGTTCGCTTCTTCCTCAACGCTCCTATCCCTCTCGATTCCCAACTCGCCTCTCGCAATCGCATTTGGTGCGTTTTCTGCGACCAAGACATCGAAGAACACTCTAGTTCCTTTGCCTGGTACGCTATCCACTTTTTTTATTTTTTTTAAAAAATTTATTAGCCAAGGTCTAAATCGTAATTTCCCCCTTCCAGTGCTAATGCGATTCGCCACCTCTCGAGCGCCGAACACGTGAAGAATTTGAAGCACTTCTTCTGGAAATACGGCGCTGCTGCGGATCAATTGGACGCGTTTATGGTTTCCGATGACGATGTAGCCAAGGTGATGCATGAATTGTATCAATTTTGTTTTCACGTGTTTTTGTTAGCTTTGTGGAATTAAGAAACAATTGCTGATCGGTTGTTGTTATTTTGCGAGTTCAGTGGGAGAAGAGGTGCGTGGCTCGAAAGGATGAAGCGAGTGAGGGATGTCGCGGAAAGGTGTTTGGTCCTTCAAGTGATGATATCCATAATCAAGTCCACAGTGGAAATGTTGATAGTTTAGAAAATGTTTATTCCCATTCTGTGAAATCGTATCCTTCAAATGCTGTTTTGCCTTTACAATGCTATACGAATGAGTCTCAGATATCGTGTTCAGGACTCTCCGGAGTCGCCAACGTTGCCACCTCTTCAGAAGCGAGTTCTGCCGCAATTCCTTTTGCTTTGCAAGATTTTGCGGGTATGCTTTTCATGTTTATTGGAAATGTCAGTTTTTACTCTTTACGACTATCATCCTCGTGTGAGATTTGATGAATCTGGGACTTATTTTCTCTGTGATTATTTTGTGTCTCAGTTGAAAGGAGAAACCATTCTCTCCCTTGTGATGGTAGACAAAGGTCAAGTGATGGTTACTCGTGTAATAAACAGGTATGTTTGGTCTTAGGCTTTTTGTTTCGCATTAGTCATTGTAATCTAACTGTTTGAGTTTTAGGCTTTCAGCAGTCATTGGTTGGTAACTTCATTGGTAAGGAAGCAAGGTCAATATGTTTGAAGTTTTGCCTAATTTTAAGTCATCTAATGTTCATGTCTTGATGATCATGGATTATGGTTGGCTTCACACACTTCGTTCTTGTACTTTTTTATAACATCTAATTTATTTTTTAACACTATTCTGACTTATGTTCTCTTCCCAATTTGTAGATGTCTAATTTAACATGTAATTCAGTACTGATAAAAAGTTTTGCATTTTTGTATGAATGTGCCAGGTGCACAACAACGGTAGAATGGTAAGCGGAGGGAGCAGTCATCAGGGTATCTATTTGTAATTATGAAAATGTTGTTTTTCTTCCATTCTTATAGTGTTCTGTGAAGCTGCAAAGCATATGCTAATCGAATATGTACACTCAGTTGCATTGCTGTATTTGTACACATGTGCAAAATATTTAAGACTTATATGAATGCAGAGAAAGAGTTTTAAGATTTTACTATGCCAGTGTAACTCTCTCATGGATAGGTAGCATAGAGGTTGAATGTGGTGGTGAATTAGTATCAATATCATGGTGCATTTTCTACATATGATTCTTTTGCGTTTTCAGGTCTACCACTGTTAATTCCAATCTCTTCTGGGCATACTGAAAGTGCTGGTGGAAATCTTCATTCTGGAGCACCTCCACCATGGGTTGAAGCAACAGAGGTAGTTCAGATATATTCTAAGCCTGTTTTGGGAGACCCTGTCTCCCATTCAAACAAGTTAGGAAAGTCCAAGAAGTTGAATCCAAAACGGGTGGGAGCAGCGTGGGCTGAAAAGAGAAAGATTGAAATGGAGAAGAAAAAGAGGGGAGAAACTGTAAGGAATGAGTATGATGCCAACTGGCTTCCTAATTTTGGTAGAGTCTGGCAATCTGGTAGCAGAAGAGAATCCAGAAAAGAATTTGAGAGGGAGAAACAGAAGTTAAATGTTGAAACTCAATCTGAGATGCCAATCAAGATACAGCCTTATGTCAGCAAAAGAATGGTGAGTTTTATTCTATGGGTTCTAAAGATTGCTGGTCTAGTTTCTTTCAAAACTTTCAGCCAAAACCAGCTTGCTTTAAGCTGACTTAAACTGCCAAAACCCAATTGGTTCATAAATGGGAAACATAATGGGCTAAGCCCATCATATGTAGCCCAGCTTGGCCAAAAATGGTGGGATGTACTTACTAATGGATTAAATTTGAAGAAAATTGGTGAGTGGATGAGATAGAGTTGTCAACATTCGGACATCCAGTATATTTAGACATTTTTAAAGCTGACTTAAAAAATAAAATGTCCATAGAAATCACTATTGCTCATCTCTAGGGTGGCTTCATAGCAATAGTACCTGGTGTCCTTGTCCTGTTTAGGGTGAAATTCAAAACAAGTTAGCTAATGGATGTGCGAATTCATAGCACTATGATGAGTTGTTAATTTTGGCTTTTCCTTCTGCCGTGTACTATAAAGCTATTATGATATTGATATTTCAGTCATTGTAAATATTTAGATCTGTTCCTTTTGTTTGTTCTTTGCAGCGGATGGATAGTGGAGGTGATTTTGCAAGCGGGTGAAATTTTCGGTAGCAAACATGTTCAGGGAGTCATCTTTATAGTGGATAAGCATTCCAGCATGTTTTACATTGGAGGGACAAGAGCAGTTAAAATTTACAAAATGAAATGTGCGTTTATGTTAATCCTTGATAAAAAAGAAAGATACCACAATCATGGTGGAGTATTGAGTATTGATGCACAACTATATCCGTAAAATATGTACATGCATTAAGCAAGAGGTGAGAGCTGTTAGTCTGCACGAATGATTGTGATCATAGGAAAACATTTTACTACATTTCATATGCCATGTGATATCAATTCTTTTTATAGATGGTCTACTTGACTTTTGTGCTGTTATGCTTATTTTTGCCAACCAGCTTGCTTTTGAATATACGGATGGTTGCTATTGATATTCAAATAGGTGTTGCTTTGCAGCATTTTGCTCCTTTCCATTGGAATGAAACAGACTTATCCATAGTATGTACAGAATACTGAGATTTTATTCTTGCCAGTTATATAAGAGAATCACTGTAATGTCCTAGATCTTAACTCCTAAATTTAATCTGACATTTCATTTATTTTTGAGTTACTAACCTAAGACTTTTGTCCAATATTTAGACTTCAAAATGTGATAAAAGTTTTGGATAAATAGTAGAATAGAAACTAGTACCTATCCTTATTTGTGTGCTCAAAATATATAGTACAATCAACTTATAAATTTGACTAATTTAAGTCTCAATAAAATATTGTTAGTCAAATAGCCTCGTCAAATAGTCTCTTATAAAACTTTTTCAAATTACTTTCTTACAAATTCAATTCCTCAGATAAATTTATATGTAAAGAATGAATGATGATACAAACTACTCAATCACAATTAATAACAAGTAATTAAAAAGTGTAGTGAAAGAAGAATTGCAAACTCAATTTATACTGGTTCGGCTAATCCTGACTATATCCAGTCCTCAAGTCTCCAACTTGAGATTTTCCCTATTCTTGTAACTCTTACAAGACTTGAATCTTTCAACACCTCGGAACTTCCTTTTCTTGTGTTGAGATTCAAAAACCAATAAGGAGAAAAATTCTTTCTCCCTCGCAGATCCAATGATCAATTTGGAATTACAGAATAACTCTCTTTTAAGAGTAGATATACATTTTTATCTTAATGAACTCTTTTAGAATAATACAAATGAATTTGACCAAGATGTTTTTGTATATGACTTTTTCATAATAGAGTTTGTAACTTTTTTCTGAAAAATTATAGGTATTTACAGACAATTGTTTCTTAGGTTATGTCTTTTCATGAAAAGTTGTAACTCTCTATAATTTTTTAGAAAAGATAATCTGGTAATCGTTTACAAGACTTGGTAATCGATTACAACGATTTTAAGTTCAAAAAATTTGAAACGATGTATCTTTTAAACTCAAATTCTTGAAGTTTTCTCTTCTAGTAATCGATTACAAGGTCTGGTAATCGATTATCAAAACACATTTTGTATTCAAAATTTAAACTTTGAAGTTTCCTTGTTCTGGTAATGGATTACAAGGTTTAGTAATGGATTACAAGGTTTAGTAATGGATTACTAGAACATATTTTTGCATTGTTTCAAAAACTTTTATGTAAAAAACTTCATATCAATAATTTCTTTCACAAATCTCTTTTAAGAAATGATTTGAATTATTCTTTAAAGATTTTGTTAAGTCTTTCAAAAACATTTTTACTTACTTTCAAAAATTTAAAACTTGCTTAAATTTAAAGAGATTAATTTGAGATTTTTGAAAACTTATTCTCAAGGCCAAACATACTTGCAATTCTAAAAGATTCTTTTACATTCTTAGCTAAGTTGACAAGACTTATTTATGTAACACTTGAAATCTTGTTCTTGCATCAACTTACTTTAGTTCAACCTTGATTCTTCTTCAATGTTTTATAATCACTTTGGCATCATCAAAACATTTGTGTATATTTTCTTCCACATTCTCCCCCTTTTTGATGATGATAATTTACTGTAAAGGGAAGAAAAATAAAACAGTATATTTTGATCACAGCCCCTTAAACTCTCCCTTAGTAAAACATTGATTGATGTTATTTTTATTTTTATAAAAGGAGTTGTACTTATATTTTGAAAAATATTGTAGAGATCAATGTTTATATTATAAAACATAAGTGTGAAGTTGAGCATCAAAAATATTTGTCAAAATAATGTTAGACAAAAATAAACATTTTCTTTTCCTTTGCGATCTTATCTATCTAATATAAACCTATATAAAATAAGTTAGGTGAAGGGTTCCTAAAATATCTGAGCATGAAAAAAAATGAAGCTTGTAATAAAACTTCTATTATTGAACAGTATAATATCATTTTATGGTTAGATTTTAATTTTAAACTATTATGGTCCTCATCATGATCATATCATGATATACTTATTATGTCTTTAAAATTTGTTTTCAATTTAAATGCTTTAACATAGCTATGATTAAATTGAAAAAACTGAATATAATCATACATTGTCATATATATTAAGATTCACAAAAAGTTTGCTAGGGTTCATACTCCTTTCCGCATACAATATTTTACTGGTGCATCACCTAAATGCATTGTAGTTCAGATTCAGAATTCAGATTAATAAATTTTAACTTCGTTTGTTAGCACCTATATGGAAGTTTGGCACAAAACTACTGATGGGCCATACAATGGTGCCTAAATAACATGTCAACCCTTAAGGTTACTAGTTACTACATATCTTCATGGTCCCATTCTTCATCATCATAAACTTTAGGCCCCCAAATCTCGTAGCCGTTATCATAAACTTCAACCATCTCTCAGCTCATGACAGCATGCAAAATTAGATCCAGTTCAGGGTAACGACCCATGCATAATGCACATCAAGCATGAAGTTGAGGCAAGGCATCTGAAAAATTACATATTTAGAGTGAGACAAAAGCTCAGAAGGGAAGCATGGAAAATACTCATTCTTTCGCAAAATTCTAGCCAAAGGTTTTTAGAGAATTAATTTTAAGCAATATGTGATTTTGAATAATAACTTATTCTGAAACTGCTGGAGGTAATTCTTATCCCTTTTCTTGATATTTGCACTGTTTCAAATTCTCTTATGGTCAATTATGCATGTAATAATTATCTTAAAAACAAAACCTGTAAACATGGCATGACTATGGAGTCATTGGCTGCACACTGGTGTGACAGAAGGCGTGCTACCAAGTAACAAATGCATGAGCCGAGGAGGCATTAAAAATGTTGCCTTCTGTTGCAATTTCAATTTAGCATTTGGGCAGAGTCCAATTTCATATTCATATTCAAGGTATTTTCCCGTCTTTTCATTTGATTCTTGATTCTACAATTCACATCCTAGAACAAATCAATCCTCATCTTCTTAAGTTAAATCATATTGAGCTTGTAACAGTGTCATTCATCTGTATATAATACATTTATGTAGCATTTGCTTGATTTGCTTAGATTTTTTATCTTTTGTTTTGAGCATTCAATTGCACTAGACTTTTCTTTTGTTTTGAACATTCAAATGCACGTTGAACATGTTGCTAATCTCACTAAGGCTGAACCAGGTGGATACTCCAGAGTTAAGGTAGTTGCTTGGGAATTGGGGCATTCACTTCTTTGATGCATTTGTATAAATTTTCAAGCTCTATCAATTCCTCCTCTTGTCCCTGCGTTGCCAGGATATATGTGCTGATGTTGTGTACAGCAATCTGTACAGTCGGCTGATTTTGCTTCAGAGAATTTACTGTGTATGCAAAACTCGTACAAATAAAACTTGAACTGGTATTGCTGAGGATGCTGTATATGGTCATATTCAATTACTTATTCCTGGTGAAACAGCCTGTTTTGCATGTGCACCTCCTCTGATGAGTGTTTGTATTTGAAATTGGTCGTTATTCACCATTGACGATTGATTTTCGTAAATAATTGAATTTAATTAACCTGGTTCTATGTTGTAAAGTTCCAGAATTTAATCCATATATGGACTATATGTTGAAAGCTGTTTTTAACATTTTATAAGTTATCTTGAAGAGTTTATTTAAATAAGTTGAAAACAACTCATTGACATCATAAGCTGTCTTCACAAGTTCTGTCAAAAACTTAAACAAGTACATATGTCATTAGTGAAAATTTAACTAACTTCTTCTAATTGGATCCTTATTCCTTAATCATATTCTTAAGTTCTTGAGCCCGCTTGGTTAAATGTTATTTTCCCCCTATAAAAAACAGTTATTTTTAAGAAAAAAAAGTACTTATTGGAATTTTAGAAATGTTTTGACAAACTTCTTTAAATAATCAAGCAGAAAAAAGGTGGAAAACTGAGTTGCTTCTCAAAAAAGCAGCTGCTAGAGATAGGAAGTTTTAAAAAAGTGTTTTTTTTTTTTTTTAATTTAAAAATTGTAACCAAACACAAATCAGCTTTTGCTTATATAAGAATCTCTTAAAAATGAATCACTTTTTAAAGCCTAAAATTACGGGCCTCTTATTAGAAAGCTCATTGAGTTAATTAAGCTAAAATGCTGGATATCTTTCCATAGTTTCTTTGCATACGTGATACTGGCTATAAAGCTGCTGATGTGGATTCCCATGTTTGTTTTAACCCATATGGGAAAATCTCTCTACACTTGGCTAGTGGAGTTTTTTTTCATCTGGCCCATTCTTGGAATGTTATCATTTAGTTTTCTCCATTTGTCTTCCAACTTTATTTCAATCGTATGTTACCCCAAGTTAATTAACTTAATTTATCCAGATCAGGTGCCTTTTTGTGCACCTGCTGTTTTTTGTAATGACAATGTTGGCTGCAAAAGCATCTACCTGAAAGAGTCTAGATTTGTTTCATTTTTATAGTTCATTTTGTAATGGCTAGTGGAGTTTTACAGATGTCTTGCTTGAAGGTCTCACTCACGAACTTCTTAGTGCGCTTGAGTTTCAAAACCTGCTCACTCTTGAATCTCCTATCAGTGACAAATGATGATGAGCTTGACGATCTCCGAAGTCAACTTGAAGTCATTAATTCTGTATTTTTTCAGATTCATTTAAAAAAAAAAAAAAGGTTATAATTGTTTAGGCAAGCAGGTTTAACTATAAAAATTGGGATTCATTCATCTCTTCTGTTTTACAGTTTATTTGATTTTGTTCAGTCTTTTGGCTATGAATTACATATATGTAGCACTTGGAATGCTGTTGATAAATACCACGGCTGAATTTGAATTTGGAAGCACAAAGGCTGCTCAATTCATGTTAATATAGTTTAGGCATATTGACAAATACACTTAGGAATGCTATATAGTATTACATAATAATAAGATACTCGATAATATTTGTCTCTTTTTTCCTCTTTGTTGATCTATCTAAAAATGAGGTAAAACAAACGCAATTTTTAGCACTCCAGCTAAGCCCTCTCTGGTCATTGTAGCATAAAGGATGCCCTTTATTTAATTATACATGGTCTCACCCTTTATTCAATTTCGAGAAACAAATATACGCAGACATTTGTCACATCAGGACGCCCGGAGCTATCTCGCCGGGACTATTGAGTATAAAGTATAAACTAGCACTTGGACTTGACCTCACTAACCAGCCTTTTCTGTGGGTTGTGCGTGAGGATGCTAGTGGCAGCACAAAAATCACATACACTAACAAATTTAGAGACACTCGTGACAAAATTTTAAAATGGGCACCCCAGTTGAAGGTGTTAGGCCCGGGATAACTTTCTTGTGTTGGCCTTATTTTGCTGACCAACTATTGGACAAGGCTTATAATTGTGATGTGTGGAAGGTTGGGTTGGAATTTGACTTGGATGATAAAGGGGTGATATCACGGGAGATAAAGAAGAAAGTGGAGAGAGGAATGTCTCACAAGTTGCCTATTTTATAATTACTTTATTTAAAACCTTATTTTGTATTAATAATATTAAATAGACCAATAGATTTAATTTTTAAATAAATCAATAATTATATTTTTAAATATATGTTTTATTTTTTTTGATAAAAAATAATTTACTCTATTATTATTAGAATTTAAAATTTAAAATAAAAAATAAAAAATAAAAAACTAATTACACATACTCATGTATGTTAACATACACTCAAGCATATGCGGTAATGAAAAAGATAATCTTATTAAAAAAAAATTAAATATTTTTTTATATATAATCAACCATAAAAAATAAAAAAAAGTAGACAAAGATATAATTACTAGAGTTTTTATTTTCGATATCTTGATTTCGTATGAACAGAAAATATAAAATGTTTAAGTGCAGTAAAAATGTAAAAAAATATTAATAATTTAAATTTTTATATTTTAATTTATTTATTTAATTATATGGTTAATAACGATATTTTTTTATTATATCATAGATAAATATATTGATTTATCAAGTCTAACAAATTTTTGTATAAATCTAAGTTCATTATTTTTAAATAAATAATTTTTTATCTAAGTTCAATATTTTTAAATAAATATATTGTTTTTTAAAATTTAAGTTTAACCTTTTTATTAAATAGGTCAGATTAGATCAAATTTTAAACAGGTCAAAGTATAAACTACTATTTAAAATTTGAACTATTTCATATTTGATTGTGAACAATATTTATCGTCCCAATTAAATTGAAATTTAATAATTTGAAAACAGAAAAAAACACAATAGAAAATGACGAAAGAGGTTTAAAACTTCACTTCATAATAAGATATTAGTGACGTTCCCACGCTTCAACATTTAAATAAAGCTATACATGATGTAATTGTAGATAAGATTCTTACTTAATCATCCCTTATACGGATTTGTTCTATGATTTTATTTTATTTTATTTTTATATTTTAATTGAGCTTTGTTCTACGAAAGACACTTTAATTCTAAAGAGAATCAATTTGCTAATTTTACTAAAGAGAATCAATTTCCTAATTTTAATTCTAAAGCTTAGATTAGGAGAAGAAAGCAAATGACAACAAAACTAGTCTTTTAACTGTTACGAAAGAAATATGATGGGTGCAACATTTGAAAAGATAATTACATAAAGTAATTTTAAGCCTTGCAACACGTTAGGACGTTGAATCTTCTTAGTAATAATAAATATATAAAAGCCTTTTTTTAATTTTAACTACAACCAAGTTCACTTTAAATTAAGGAACAGTCACACACTTTCATCTTCCAATTCATGCACTGAGAGCCAATTTTCAAGCAAATGGGTGTCCCTCACTTTCTTCTGATTCCATATCCAACGCTAGGACATGCAAATCCCCTTATGCATTTGTCTCAGGTTCTTGCCACACATGGCTGCAAGATCACTTTTCTAAACACAGAGTTCCACCACAAACGAGCAAACACAGAAGTTGCTGGGCTAGACAACCCCAACGGACACCAGATAGAGTTTGTGACACTCCCGGATGGTTTGGACCCTCAAGATGACAGAAGTGACCACAAGAAAGTTATTTTCTCAATCAAAAACCACATGCATGCAATGCTTCCCAAGCTCATACAAGATATCAATGCTTTGCATGTTAACAATAACATCACTTGCATTGTTGTCACTGTGAATATGGGTTGGGCCTTGGAAGTTGGCCACAAAATGGGAATTAAAGGAGCTCTTCTGTGGCCTGCATCTGCAAGTTCGTTGGCTACATGTGATTGCATCCCAAGGCTGATTGATGATGGAACTATAGATTCAGATGGTAAAGAATAATGTTTACTCATTGCTACATTCTGAGAAGGGACAGAAAAGATTTTAAACCATGTTGGACAGTACTTGTACTAATTTCCAATCTTCATGTTACTCTGCTGCATATCATTACTTATGGTTAAATTTTGCATTGTTCGATACAAATTGCATCTACTAAATTTCTCAATTAACCTGAATTGCTTCTACTTCTATATTAACAAGAAGTGTCAATTTTTAATTGTTTTGTAGAAGTAAATTTTGTTGTTTGGCACCTTACTGTTATGTTTAGAAACACATGTAAATACTAAAGAGCTGTTTTGGAAGTTGGGTAGCTTGAGAGCATAGTGGTGCTTTTGTATTGAGATTTAGAATACCCAAATGTACCTAGATAGGTAGTAGACTTGTTTTCATAAACTCTAGTACTTCGATGTCAAATTTTTGAGGGTATAATTAGTGATTAACACCAAATAGTATGTACGAATGAACAGAATGAAACTTTCTCCTCAATAGGCCACACATTCTGGACACATGCATGTGCTGTTCCATCACCATCTTATTTTCTTGCTACTTCATGCATCCATATCAGATTAAAGCAATGCTCAAATTTTAAATCATTCACTAAATATTTGTTAAGTTTTACTTCTAAAAACATTGTTAGGAGAATAAATCCAAGTGTTACCTATGAAATACTCCTCTTGATTCTGATGCTAACACCATTTCTGAGAAAATCTGATCTATAACTTCACCTTGTCCATGGTTGATCTTTATTTCTGAGTTATTACTAGTGAAAGTACAAACACGAGAGGTTTTATGACTTTTGTCATTACAGGAAACCCCACCAGAAAACAAGAAATTCAACTCTCCCCAAACATGCCAATGATGGACACAGCAAACTTTCCATGGTGTGGCCTAGGTAAGATCCTCTTTCATCATATTGCACAAGAGATGCAAACTATCAAGTTAGGGGACTGGTGGCTTTGCAACACTACATATGATCTTGAGCCTGCAGCATTTACCATTTCACCAATACTCCTACCAATTGGCCCATTGATGGAAAGTGACACCAACAAAAGTTCAATCTGGCAAGGAGACACAACTTGCATAGACTGGTTAGATCAGCAGCCACCTCAATCAGTTATATATGTTGCCTTTGGTAGTTCGGCATTGATTGACCGCAACCAATTTAAGGAATTAGCTCTTGGACTTGATTTCCTTAACAAGCCTTTTCTTTGGGTTGTGCCTCCTTGTAATGATAACAAGGCAAACAATACATACCCTGACGAATTCCATGGAAGTAAAGGCAAAATTGTAGGATGGACACCACAGAAGAAAATATTGAACCACTCTGCCATTGCTTACTTCATTAGTCACTGTGGTTGGAATTCTACCATCGAAGGTGTATGTGCTGGTGTGCCTTTCTTGTGTTGGCCATTAGTCAAGGACCAGTTTGTTAACAAGTCATATATTTGTGATGTGTGGAAAGTTGGAGTGGGATTAGACAAGGATGAGAATGGATTAATATCAAAGGGAGAGATAAGTAAGAAGGTAGAACAACTTGTTGGCGATGAAGGCATAAAAGAAAGGTCATCGAAACTGAAGGAATTGACCTTGAATAACATAGCAGAAGGTGGTCACTCTTCAAAGAATCTCGAAAACTTCATCAGCTGGGCAGGGTCATAATAATGCTGTAGTATAGTTTGGAAATTGTAGTAATGTTAGCACGAAACAAGACATTTTTTAATTTTCATTATTCCATGAAATGGAGTAGAGGCCTTTGCCTGAATTCATGATTTAGTTCTTCATGTCTTATTCGTAGTATTCTTTGTTCTTTTCTTTCTTTGATTTTTGATCTTTGAAGGTGGTTTTCTCCCCTCTCTCCTTTCCCTTTTCTTGTTTCATTGATAATTAAGAAACCTTATTTTTGTGTGCTGTGTATGTTGTGCAGAGAAAATTTTGATAAATGTTCACTTTTCTGAAGGGAAAGGGAGGGGTTTATTTTAGATTTATTTCTTGTTTCCTGAATTAAAATAGTTGTCACTTGTCAGTACGAATTCATGCACACGACGAAAATTGTATATAACGATATAACCAACCTTCTTTGATTTCTGTCAAAGCTTTTAATTTTTTTTTTTAATTTAATATTTTTCCAATATCATGTAAACATGAGGTTTTGTATTGCATTTGAGCACAACACTTTCGAAAGATATGACATTGCTGTTTCTCGAAATAATTCTCACTCACTTTTAATTATAACTAGATATAAACTCGCCCGCACATCACAGATAAAAAGTAAATTATTTAAATTAAGAAATATTTTATTTTATTAGTTAAATTTAAGTTTTAAATATATTTTTAATTATGTAATATAAATTTATTATTGTTAGTAATGAAGTTTAAAGTAGCTTATGAAGTTCTATTTGAAACAGTGTAATTTTTGCAAAAAAAATATTATTACAATTTTTTGTTGGTATTTATATTTATATAATATCTATAATAATCTAACATTAGTATTTTTTTATACTTAAAATGGTAGATAGAAGATGATAGCTCCATGACCATTGGACAAGAAGTCAATGATGTACTAAAGATTCTCAAATCAAACATCATTGTTCACTTAGTAACTAGTCAAAGTTTAACAATGTTTAGTTTGATTCAGGGCATTGTTTACTTAATAATATTTACTTTATATATTTTGTAAAGTTTATATATGTGTGTTAAAAAATTATATATTTTTGTAAAGTTTTTCTTAATAATATCTATTTTATTAGATATTTGAATACATAAATGAACAAAAAGTTCATAATATATGTGTAAATTATATTTCATGTATTTTAAACAAACACTATCTTTTTTAATATCTATATTTTAAAGTTGGAGCAAAAAGAATATAAAAGAAATTATTAAAAATAATATCATGGTAAAAATATTTGGAGAGTTTGATTTTTGATAAAGAACAGTTCTAACATGAAGCATTGAAAGAAATGCCTCATCCATGAGGTAGTAAAATGACCTGCAATAGTAGATTTTTCAACTTGTTTAAAATTGTAAAATAGTTCTTATATTATATGCGGAGGCACTGTAGAGGCGCGATGGCAGCGGAGGCATGGTGGCAGCGGAGGTCGTCTCCTTCCACGGTGGTGGCAGCACAGTAGTGGCAACGAAGGCGTGACTTCGTTCGCGCGGTGGCAGCGGAGGTTCGGCCTCCTTCGCGTGATGGTAGCGCGAAGGTGTGGGCTCCTTCGCGTCGTGGCAGTGCGGAAGCGCAGGCTCCTTCACGCGGTGGCAATGGAAGCACGACTTCGTTTGCGCGATGGTAGTGGAGGCGCGGCCTCCTTCTTCGCACGGTGGTAGCGGAGCCGCGAGCTCCTCCTCCTCGGCGCCACCGGCCTCATGTCCCTCCTCTGTCGCTACCTCTCCCTCTCCGTTGTCCGTGACGTTCAACTCTCTCAAGGCCTCTCCTAAACCCTAAACCTCGCCACCTCCAAATCTGGCCCTCCCCACCCCTGGCTCGTCCTCGACGGTCTCGCCGTCGCATTCGCTGCCGTTGTCTTCCTCGTCCTCACCACCCGTTGGCGGCCAAAACAGTAATCCTAAACAAGGACTAATCTGTAAAATACAAAAATTTTCATAAACAAGTTACATGTAACAAATTTAAACTGTTAATTATTTTATTATTAAATTTAACGGTTAAAAATAGTGTTTTATTAATGTACCACTTTTCATACTTCTTCATGTTAGAATTTCTGTTTGATAAAGATTGATGGTGTAATATGATGGATATAGTCTAACACCTTGTAAGATAGGACTAAATTATTTTTTTTTAGGATAGGACTAAATTATAACTTACAAATGAAAGATTAAATAAAAAATAAAAAAACGCGATAGTTAAAGGGTTGTAAAGCTTATTTAAAATTACTATTATTACTGTAATATTTTGAAATTATACACATTGAGTTATTTAAGATCTTAAAGTCATTCTCTTGTGTAAATTTTTATTAATTTATTTAAAACAAATCTTTAAATAAACTTTCACATCGGTTACACTTTCAAAAATATTACGTCAAAACTTATGAAAACATATGATAAATAAATATATAAAACTCAGATTACATATGCTTTTAGTCCAAGAAATTAGTTTTTTTTTTCTTTCTCCAAATTATTTTGGAAAAAATATCTTTATAGTCTTTGTAATTTAGAAAAATACCTATTATCCATACTTCATTGGTAAATCTGCTACATAGAATCTACTTACAAGTGATTTTGTAAACAAAAATATTACGAAAAATTCAACTATTATTGATTGATATGCACAATTGACTTAATATATTTTGATCAGTGATGCTGCACAAAAAAAAGAGACAAAAATAAATTATTTTTGAAATTATAGAGATTAAAAAATATTTTTAAATTCCTAAATTTAAAAGATTAAAAGCATATCTTTAATCAAAATCAGATCATATATTTACAGTAGAATATAGTTATTTAAAGTTAACTTGCCAATTTCCGCACTTATTGGGTAATTACCAATTGAAGCATTCAAGTAATCTCCGTATAGAGATTCAAAATTCCCACTAGCTAACGTCATTCCATTGCTTTGTTAATTGTTACTCATCTCATCAATTTTGTTTTGTTTATTTTATTTTATTTTATTACAATGAAATCTAAATACTAGCAATTATCTCTCAATCCCACCACTACATCTTCAAGAGTTTTATGTTAATATTTGGTTAGTTATATTTTATTAAACGCTTTATTGTGATCCCCTTGTCCTTGTCCATATCTAATATTCTTTTGAAGGCATCTCTAAACGGTATAATGCCCTCTTCCTACCTATAAATAAAGATTGATACATATTGTATTCGTAGATGCATTTGTTTAATTAGTTTTCGAAGACTCATTGGTGTTTTCTACGGCAGGGAAACAAATAAAGGTCAAATCCTCCATAAGATCCTACTATTAACTTAATATTTTTGTCCTTGTCAAAACATGTAGCGTATCATATGGGAAATACAATTAAGAAATTTCCCTTCCATTTTCAATAAAATCTTTCGCCCATTTATTAAATAGTGTTGGTTGCATCAACTAAATCATGGTGCTTATTATTGCTAAATTTTGGTTTTATTTCTCTCTCTTTTTTGAATCGAGTAACCAATCTACGATTCCTCCTACCATTGACACCAAGAATTGCACTTTTTTAATGTAAAGTTTTCCTATTTCGTACAAGTAAAGAGCTTATTTCCATTCTTATCATTATCAAGCATGCATGGAGCTACATTTTCTCAACACCTTTTAGAAGGAATGCTCGACAACAAATGTGGATATGTTGACAGCTCTTTTGAAAGTGGATGAGTGCAGATGATACAATAAGTTCAATAATAATAAATAATTGTTAAAATTGATTTTGATATCATTTTAGAAAGTGAAATTGAAATTTTAATCAACCTTACAGGTCAGCTTAATTATAAGAGAATTATTCTATATTTCTATGCACTGTTATAATCATTTCATTAGTTAACGTAGAGTATTCAATAATATTACTTCCACATCTCATTTTTAGAGGTCTTTCAAGAAGATAATATGATTAAATTAGCCGGTGATTTGAAAATATGAAATATTCATTATGAAATTATTCTAAGAATTTTTTAAAAACTGATGCCACGCCTAAGTTGACATTCCATCAAGGTTCTCCAATGGTCATTTTCCATTAAAAATATAGAATTCCCAGAGTGACGTTGCATTAGCAATTAACAAATATGTTGATGTTGTTGCCATTCGAAAGCTGCACCTCAAAAATCTTCTCCTAACGTGTCCACTACTTCAATTAATAGACTTAAACAATAAAAACCCAGGTTCAGAATTTAATTAAGGTTCATTTTTTGAATTTTGAAACCAATAATACTAGGTAGAAGCGAATAATTCTGGAGAATAATATCGTGTCAAGTGTCAACCATGGTTAAGGCAAGAGGAACATGTCACCCCTTTCATCATCACCTCCTATTTTAAAGCGTTGCTATTGTCTTTCTCGGTGTAATCATCTGACTTTATTCAATTTCTTAATTACTTTGCCATAATAAGATTCACAGCTTCAACAAGAAATTTCATCTCTGTGAGTTTTGCTAGGCCAAGTCTTCTTTTCAAACATGCCTCCTTTCTTCATCTTTTCCTTTCATTCTTCACCTTTTTAGTCCATCATAATATCCCCATCTTAATCATCCTGATTCACTATATTGGTTTGTTTCTACCCTTAATCTCTCATAACCCACCTCTGCTAGAGGATCTTTCAAATTTCAATAGGACTTCTACAAATATAGGCTTCTCTTTTTCCTTTCGTTGTTGTTTGGCATCTACCTAAGATTTTCTCAGGTATTGTACACTGAAAAACAAAAGTATCTTATGTTTCTTAACTGGTGAAGACAAATATTTCTATGGGGACTAATAGGCAGGAGCATGAAATTTCAGACGGAGGATCTGAGGTAAAGTGGTCACAACTCACAATTCCGAGTTATACCCGATTCTAGTTTGAACCTGTTTGGATACAAGTATAATTTTTTTTTTTGAGTTTCTTTGTCAAAAAAAATTCTTTATTTTCAGTAGAGATGTTTTTCAGAAACTCTTTAAAGCTTATTTCTAAACACACTTTTAATCTTTTTATGAGAGTTGTATATATTTCAACCACTGAAGCCTCAACAATTCTGAATTCTACACCCTATGTCAGGTAACATATCATGAGATGGTAGAAAATGAAATCACAGACACTCACAAAGTTCCAACACACAAATTAATAAGTGAGAGCTGCAAATCAAACAGTATGGTTATAAAGGTAACTATAACATTCCTATTCCCACTTTTCCTTATTTCTTTATAGATGTTGCATTGAAGGTGAAAAATGGTATGAATTGCAGAAACGGCATGCATTGATTCCAGCTCATATCATAGCTGAAGCCATATCAACTATCCCTGATCTTGACATTAGATGGTCAGGTCCAATCACACAGAAAGAAATGGAATATGTTGAACAGTATGTCCTAGCAAAGTATCCAGAATATGCAGGCCTCATTGAAGAAGATGGAAATGGGATGATAGACTTGTCTAGCTTTATCATCTATGAGGAGCCTTCAGAGCCCTTGATGGATGAAAGGGGAAAGTCACCAAGAGAGTCTTCTGCATATTTGTTTGGTGCTAACATCCCTGAAATGGATAGGGCCAAGATTCAGTTGGAGCCATCAAGATTGCTAGACATTCTCAACAAGAAATCCTCATTTCCTGGAAGCTTCATCTCTATCCCAGAAATTCAAGCAAGGAACAAGGTTTTGAGGCATTATGGTTTGCCTGATGCTGAGTATTTGGTTCTCTTCACACCAAGCTACAAGGATGCTATGATGTTGGTGGGAGAAAGTTACCCTTTTGTTAAGGGGAACTACTACATGACCATTCTTGATCAGGAAGAGGACTATATCAGGGAATTTGCTTCTTTTAAGGAGTCAAAGGTGATCTCAGCACCCAAGACTTGGTTGGATTTGAGGATCAGTGGATCTCAGCTGAGCCAAAACTTCAGGAGGAGGTGCAAGATCAGTTCAAAAGGCTTGTTCTCTTATCCGGTTGATGCAAATGGAACAATGCATTGGATTTCTGAGGCTCATAGGAACAATTGGCATGTTCTGCTTGATGCATCTGCCTTGGTGGTGGGAAAGGATCGGCCACATCTTCTTGCACTTCACCGGCCGGATTTTGTGATCTGTAGTCTTGACAACACTCACTCAAATCCTTCAAGAATCACTTGCCTCTTGGTGAGAAAGAAATCCTTTGAGATCTCAGCTGCTTCATCTCAGGTAGTCGAATGAGTCATAACTCATAAGGAGTACTTGTTTATGATTTTAACTACAAAACAATTAGCAAGGGGACAAAGTTTTCATGCACTACTTAAGTGGTTTTTCTCTTATCAGAATTGAAATTTCACCTAAATACCTTATGTTAATCTTTAACACAAACTTTTGCTGTATGGATTAGTGAAGTGAAATTTCAATTCTGATTGGAGAACCATATCATAAATGCTTAAGAAGCTGCATCTAAATTTTGTACTCAGCAAAATTGGTATCATGGACTATGAGAAGCCATGAATTTTCCTGGCGTAGTTGTAGATTGAATAAATTAACACCTGCATATATAAGACCACTTATTACTGGTTGGAGCGCATTAAGAATTTATAAATCCTAATCATCTGGTTTGTTTGTAACTTATATGATTAATTATCTTAGTTTGGTAAGTTATTTCTGCCAAACCCATTTTTTCCATATTAGTCAATTGGTTTTGAAGGATTTTAAATCTGATTTTAACTTGTGACCCCAATTCGGAGAGTAACAAATGAATGTGTCCCTCCTATTGCCTTAGCCAAAATCATCGACAGCATCTTCAATTACAGCCGCAAAACTCTCTTATCCTGTTTTGGTGTGCTTAGTAATGAAACCTTTAGGTTCCAAGAACTGGAAGATGTCCCAAACCCCAGCCATTTATATTTTATCTAGCTAAATACAAAAATACAAATCCAAGTGGTCACATATACGTGGAAATTTTAGCTAGGTGAGTGGTGTCACGAAATTCTGTGCTGGCATTTGGTAACATCTATGTTTAGGGACGTGTAGACCAAGACATGTTTATCCATCAAGTTGTTGGGGGTGAAAAGATCAAAAGATTGGTTTTGTTTTGTCCATCCTTCGTTACTGCAAGATTTGCTTTGTTCTATGTTAGATTACATCAACATAAATTTCTTAGAACTATGTTCTGAAATTCAGAAGCACACAACGGATAATGGAGAATAGGATGGTGGAGACTGTTAAATTGGAACGTGCTCATCATGAATATCCGGTTGAGTTCAAGAAAATGAAAATGAAACGCAATAGACTCGATATCTAACTTAAAAGCAATTATTTAGTGTGCGTATTGGGTCATTTTCAGTTGCTCTTTATCTCAATATGGTAGGTTTGAATCTGAATTTGGCCAAAAATATATGATGTGTCATCGATCTTTTTTAGGATTTGGTCTTGGTGTAGCATGTATAAAATAAAAGTGAAAATAGTTAAATAGATATGTTAAGTTTTATAAAATTGAGTCTAACTTGTTTATAAATTATAAGATATTTTATGGTTGATTATGGTATTCATGATACTAATTTATTTAAAAAATATTTTGTAATAAATTTTTTAAAATAAAATATGAATTTATCTTTTAAAAGACTTATAAAATTTACTTTTTTAATATAAGTTCAATATGTTTAATATTTTAAAAGATAAATAAATATGATTTTACTGTATTATAACAATTTTGATATAATAATAATAATAAATATTCATTTGTTATATTTAAATAGATAGGTTGGTTAGACTTAATAAAATTTTGAAATAACTTAGAATATAATATTTTTAATTAAATAAACTTTAATAAAAGTCTTGTACTTAATCTATTTTCTAAAAATATCTTGCTTGATTTACATGTAATGTAGGTTAAAGCATAGACATATGCCTATAGTAAGTTATTTTCATTATTAATGTTGATATTATATCTCCCCTTAAATAGAGAATGAATTTTTTAGATTTTTAATTGAATTTTCATCTGTAAAATCTTATCTTTTCCTTTTTTAACAACTAATAAAACATCATTTTGTTTACATCTATCTCTTACCATCGTTAATAAATATAATAATAAAAAGAAAAGAAAAATAATAGTTGTCCAATATCATTACTCTTTCTTAAAAGTGATGTAGATGTTTATGTTTATAGGTTTCATAAATTACAACAGGCTTAAATTTAACCATAAAATTAATGACAAATAGATTTTAGGTGATTTGTTGAAAATAAGAAAAATTCATTAATTAGTGAATACATTGAATTATGAACCTATAAGTAAACAAAAGAACATGGGATATTAACGAATTTAATTTCTTTGGTCAATATAAAAACTAACAAATAATAAAAATATATCTTTTATAGTAATTATTTTAAACGCAAACAAATTCGTCATAAAATTCAACTTGCAATTGAATGATAGTATAAGTTAATTTAGAAAACTTCCTTTTACAAATCCATTTGCAACATTAAGTTATCTTGAACTTTGAAACCCTAATCAATAAACAAACCATAAACCCTAAACTTTAAAATCTACTTATCATTGAGGTCGTTTTCGATGTCTGTTTCACTATTTATATGACTTTGCATTTCTAACTTTCCAAAAACTATCTCTGAAATACGGAATCTCTGAGTGAAGATAAGAGCCACAGAGACAACTTTGTCGACCAAATGGTCCAAATCCTAACTACATGAACAAATTAGTCACAATTACCATCAAATCAAAATGGCAAGTTAACAAAAAATAAAAGATGAAGGAATGTGTATATACAATTGTTGCCTAGATAAGTTCCAAAAGATGTCGAATCTACACATATAGCAACGAACTGCTCAAAAAGGCAAAGAAATAGATTGAATATGTAACATGATATCTGTTCATCTCATTTTCAAAATGCTACATTCACTCTTTGACTTCAACAGATTCTATTTAGATTTCCTAACAGATATTCTATTACTTGCACATCATCTTCAGTCTCACTATTCTAAAGCAAAACCAGAAGTTACAAATAAGAGGAGAAATCATACTAGAGATAGACGCCACTGCATATAATAAGAAGTTAAATAAAAGGAGAATACAAAGTCTTGCTACCAAAACCACTACAAACTATGAAGCTCCCCACAGGCCAAATCCTGCAACTACGACAGCATTATATTATATATATATATTACAAAACAAGCATCAAGCAGCATTTGGCCTAGGCATTCAGTACCTAGTTCTGCCATCACCCTCAGTTATGACATCCTTGAAGGATCCATTACTGGGAATCATTGGCAACACATGCTCCTGATGGGGCACGATGACATCAAGAAGGTACGGGCCAGGGGTGTCCAACATTCTCTGAATCGCCGCTCTAAGCTCTTCCTTCTTCGTCACACGCGCCGCCGGTATCCCGCAAGCATCCGCAAACTTCAACATGTTTGGGAATATCTCACTCTCCTTAGCCGGGTCACCCAAATAGGTGTGAGCCCTGTTGGACTTGTAGAAGCGATCCTCCCACTGAACCACCATACCCAAGTGCTGGTTATTCAACAACAATATCTTCACAGGGAGATTCTCCACTCTTATGGTAGCCAACTCCTGAACATTCATAATGAAACTCCCATCCCCATCAATATCAACCACAACAGCCGCAGGGTTGGCCACAGCAGCACCCATTGCAGCAGGCAAACCAAAACCCATTGCTCCAAGACCCCCGGAGGTCAACCACTGCCTAGGTCTCTTGTACTTATAAAACTGTGCAGCCCACATTTGATGCTGCCCTACACCAGTGCTAACAATAGCATCCCCATTTGTCAACTCATCAAGAACCTCAATAGCATACTGAGGACTAATAGCATCCTCAAAACTCTTGTAACCCAATGGAAATTTCTGCTTCTGCACATGAAGCTCTTCCCTCCAAGCTCCAAGATCAATCTTACCCTTCACACCCTTATCCTCCAAAATCGTGTTAATCCCCTCCAAAGCCACCTTCAAATCAGCACAAATGGACACGTGCGCCGGCTTGTTCTTCCCAATCTCAGCAGAATCAATGTCAATGTGAACAATCTTAGCCCTACTAGCGAAAGCCTCGAGCTTGCCAGTGACACGGTCATCAAACCTGACCCCAAAGGCAAGCAACAAATCACTATTATCGACGGCGTAGTTGGCATAAACAGTACCATGCATGCCCAACATTTGAAGAGAGAGAGGGTGAGAGAGAGGGAAAGCGCCGAGGCCCATTAAAGTGCTGGCAACGGGAATCCCGGTGAGATCGACAAAGCGCCGCAACTCGGGGCTGGAGTTTAGAGAGCCACCGCCGACATACAAAACGGGCCTTTGGGCTTCAGTGATGAGACGGACAACGTGTTCCAACTGGGCAGGGGTGGGAGGCTTGGGGAGGCGGTGGTTGTAGCCAGGGAGGTTGACGGGCTGGGCCCAATTAGGAACGGCGAGCTGCTGCTGGACGTCTTTGGGAATGTCGATAAGGACTGGGCCGGGGCGGCCCGAAGTGGCGACGAAGAAGGCCTCGTTGACGACCCTGGGAATGTCGTCGACGTCGAGCACCAGATAATTGTGCTTCGTGATGGATCTCGTCACTTCCACGATAGGGGTTTCTTGAAAGGCGTCGGTGCCGATCATGCGCCGAGGGACCTGCCCGGTGATGGCCACCACGGGGACGCTGTCCATCAGCGCGTCCGCCAGCCCGCTCACCAGGTTCGTGGCGCCGGGGCCGGAGGTCGCGATGCACACTCCGGGAACCCCGGAGGACCGCGCGTAGCCCTCCGCGGCGAACACCCCGCCCTGCTCGTGCCGCGGGAGCACGTTGCGGATGGTGCCCGAGCGCGTCAGCGCCTGGTGGATCTCCATCGACGCGCCGCCCGGGTACGCGAACACCGTCGTCACGCCCTGCCGCTCCAGCGCCTCCACCAGGATGTCCGCGCCCTTCCGCGGCTCCCCCGCCGGGAACCGCGAGAGGAAGGGCTCCGCCGCGGGGGCCGCCGCCTCCGCCGCTGCGGCCGGCGCAGGCTTGGGGAGGGAGCAGGAGATTGCGAGAGGGTGCGCGCGGGTGAGGTTGGGAGAGAGAGCGAGGGTGGATCTGAGAATGAGTTTGGGGAAGGTGTTGTTGGAGTAGGACGAAGAAGAAGAAGAAGATGAAGAAGAGAATGGGGTTTTGGAAGCTGTAGCCGCCATTGGTGAATGCAGTGTTAGTGTGAAGCGCACGCACTCGTGGCTTTTTAGATGCAAGATGGAAGAGAGATATTTTGTTTTTTTCTTTCTTCCGTTTTTGCCCTTACTTGAAAAATGCTACCAAAACTCTTTCCTCCCCCACACTTTTAACAAAAATTAATTATAATAAAAATTCAACTTCTAGTAATTCATTATTGAGTTAGTATGTTATTTGTTGCATGGGTAAAATGGTAAACGTGTCGTTGGTATTTCTGTGGTGTCGATTGTAAGATAGCCACATATCTTTGAAAATAAATGACCACCCATTTTGCAGCCCTTTGTGATTAGTGATTAGTACTAGTTGCCAAGTACAAACCCTACTTTGGCGCCGCGTGACCAACAATAGTGAACACTATAATATAAAATACTTCATTTTTGTCCTTTTAATTTAACTGCTTGATTTTAAATTTGACATTTTTACTTAGACTATTATCCTACCTTTTGAGGTGTCTTTAACGTAGTGAGAAGATTAGTTAGTCAACTCCAGAGATGAAAAAAAAAAAAATTGACCTTTTCAGAAAACATGATGTGAAAATTTATATCCCGTATTATTTTATTTGTTACAAGTGAATTTACTTAATATTCAAAAATCTTTGTAAAAAGATAGATTAATTATATTTTTATTTTTTAATCATATTTTATGATTTACTGTAGACATTTACTTTTAAAAATATTCGTTTTAATTTTTTATATTTTAAATTAAAATCAATTTATCAGTTTAAAACGAGGATTCTTTTGGATTTTACAATATAAAGATGTATTGGGTATAAGTTGATTTGCAAATGAATGTGCTTGTAAACGTGTTTTTGGATGTCGATTAATTGATGAGAGAATTTGACTTGGATTTTGATTCTTTGAATATGCAAATTCCCAATTCAGGTGCCTTTGTTGGAAGCTAGTTCAGACCGACGACTTATCGACATCGGGTGAAAAGTAAACGTGGATTTTTATATATAAATATTTATAATATAAAATAAATGTGTAACTTAAATAAAAATTACATATTTTTATTATATTAAATAATTAACATAATTTTAAAAATATAAATAAAAATAATATATATAATATTTTTTATTTAATTTATTTCTATATTATTATTTATTATAAAGTATTATATAAATAATTTTGAAGGCTAATTATTTTATATCTGCAAATTAAAATGATTGAAATAAGACAAATTTTAGTTTTAAAAAACTAAAATCGAACTTAAAAAACTTTAGAGACTCAAAAACATACATTTCACTTTTTTATGAATGTAATATATAAAAAAAAATAACAAAATTTTATAATCATATCACATTTTTATATTTAGTTATAAAAATATATATAAGAAATAATAATTTAGTTGTTTAAAATGATATAAAAATTTATTATACGATTATTTATTTATATATTAAAAAAACAATCCCTAACCGGAAGCATGCTGCTTGATTTTATTCACGAATAACGGTAAATATGGATTAATTTTAATTGATTATTTATTGTTAGTTTAATGTTTTTATACTACCTAGTTTTGCGATTTTAATGGGTACATACTTAAATTATTTCTATTTTTAATTTTAATTATCATTAACCATAATTTATGATATTTTGGTTTCAATTATGTTAATTGTTATATTCAATTATTATACGTTAATATTTGGCCCATTAATCGGTATTTGATCGATTATAAACGGATTGCAATTTTGCCTTACTTTATGATAATTGTTATTTTTTCTGATTTAATCGTAATTATAGAATATAATTGCTGTTATTATTTCCTGCATATTGCGTGGAATATATTTTTTTTATGAGTATCGGTGATTGAAAGCTGACAATCGAAAATTACTGTGAATATTTGAGTCTTTGTATAGTGGCTTGATTTTGTGCAACTTGTTAAAAATATTTAGATATAAAAAGTATATTTAAATATTTGAAAGAAAAAATGAATGATGTGTAGTAAAGGTGAAAAGAATAATTATGAGCAAAGTTATAATAATTGATTATATATAGAACAATAATTTATATGTGATAAACTTATTATATTTAATATAATCAATTATAATATTATATCTAATTTTTTATATGATTTTAAGCATTAAAGTATATAATTTTAATTAATTAAAGATATTATGATTAATTAATAATTAATTAAAAATATAAATATCATTAGATAAATATATATATATATATATAGAAACTTTATGATTTTTATAATCTTCGAGATTTAAGAAATATTATAACTCACAATTTGAATTGTACATATGATAATTTGGGTCCAATTCCAATTGTCCTCATAAATTAAAATTAACAATTATAATTCAACTCAAATCATGAAAATAATCAAGATAATTTTAATTAATAATCATGCAAGATTATTTGTAAGTATCTTGATACAATTTTAATCTGCATATACATTGGTATATTTATTCATAAATAAATAGATTTTTTTTATGATTAATCCATAGACGTAAAATAAATGAATAAATAAAATCTTGTATGAATATGGTCATTATAATTATATAAGGTATGTAGCGAAAATAACATAATTATATATAATATATATGAATAAAATGGTTGGAAGTTTAACTCTGATACTAATTGTTGGACCTCTATGATAAATATAATAAAATATTTATTACTTGGTCATTGGTCCTTGATACAAATTACAAAATAAAAATAAATAATATAAAATATAATGTGGAAACATACCTCGATTTGCAACCATTGTAACACCCCGATTTTTATTTCATTTTTATTTTATTTTATTGAGGGTATTTTGGTAATCTTTATAATTGGAACGGGTCGTTCCAAACTACCAAAATGAATGTGAGTTAGTAGCCTAGAACTGGTCGTTCTCAAGTTGGAACGGGCCATTCCGGACTATTAAAACTGCCTATAACCCTAAATGGGAACGGGCTTGGAACGGGTCGCTTCCAAAATATGGGCGTTGTGAGCAATAAATGTACACCAGAACGGGCCGTTCTAGTTTGAGAACGGGCCGTTCTGGGAGTCATTTTTTACCCATGATTTAAGGGTCCAGAACGGGCCATTCTGGATTTAGAACGGGCCGTTCCGGCGAAGCCTGATGCCTATAAATTGAGCTCTCTACCACTCCCAAAAAGCACACCTCTCATTTTCTGATTTCTTTTCTTCTTCTCTCTCTTCTTTCCCTCTTCTTTCTACTTTAGATCGAGGGGAACCCAGCGAGGGAGACCAACCAAATCTTGTGTAGCTTCAGCTTCTACATATCAAGGTACGAGGAAAAAGGAGATTATTTATATGTAGAGTTATATGAGAAAATTGGGTAGAGGAAGAGCCCTTAGGATTATGAGTAATTTTATAATTATTTCTGTTTGGAAAATTATTGGTCTTATGTGATTCTGTATGTATTTAAGCTATGAATATATGATTAATTTGTAAAAATGATTCTCTGGGAGAGAGAACGAAATTATAGAAAAGTGTCTGTAAGTTAAGTTTTGAAAAAATTAGATTATTTCTGTTTGAGGAATTAATGATTCCATTATGTTTTGTATGTGTTGAGGATTAGAAATATATATTTAATTTGTAAGAATGATGATCTGGGAAAGAAAATGAAATTGTAGAAAAGTGCCTGTGAGTTAGGTTTTGGAACAATTGGGGGTTTTACTATTTATGTTAAGATTATATTAAATATGTAATTCCATTAATTATTATATTAATTGATAAAATTTGATGATTTAAATGTGAATTGCTTGAGGTGTATGAAACCCATTATTTTGGACTTATCTGATGTGTGTATGGAATTGAACTATGAGATGTTGTGTGGAATGTGAATGAGATGTGATTGTGGTTCTTCACACCTATGACCAGGGGTGAGCACGACCCGGGATTGTTACATGGGTATCGTGACCTTGGTTAACATGTCAGGGGTGAGCACGGCCCTGGGTTAGGGGTAACGTGACCTTGGCACAGTGTTATATCAGGGGTGAGCACGGCCTTGGATTGTTACGTGGGTATCGTGACCTTGGTTAACATGTCGGGGGTGAGCACGACCCTGGGCTAGATATGCTACAGGGGAATCGTGACCTTGGCACAATGTTATATTAGGGGTGAGCACAACCTTGGATTGTTAAATGGGTAACGTGACCTTGGCATAGTGTGAAGGGAAAGATTTGTGATGATTGGTGTGATTGCGAATTATGACATGATGATGATGTATGATTGATCGAGTTATGATATTTTGAAATGTTTATGAATATTTTATTAAGTATAATGAGACGATATGTTGCGTTTTTCTTATGTACTTTATATATATAGATGCTTTCTTTTCTCACCGTACAATTTGTGGATGTTTTAGGTGAGGAAGATCCGGCTTTGAGTGGCATCTAGGATGCTAACAGTTGAATTGTGGGTGTGCTTTGATATTGTGACATCGGGGCAGAAAATTCTAGGATATAGATTTTTATATGTATTCTGAGTTATACCTTGTGTTTTGAAAATAATTTGTAAACTCTTAAATTTTACCTTCCAAGTTTTATTTCCAGTTATTTTGGATATTGAAGAAAGAACAATTATGAAGTTTATGTGAACCCTTTTACCAACTTTTAAATTTTATTTTTCTTAATTTAATTACATTATTATGATGTTTGTGTTGGGGTAGTAAGGGTGTCACATTTAGTGGTATCAGAGCCTGGTTGATCCAATCGGCCGTGAGTTATGAGTCTACTATGCTTGTTTGGTAGATGAATGATGTAGTGAATTGATTGTTGAACTTATTGATATGCTAGTATGACGATTGATTAAGTTTGTTGTTAATTAGAGTATAATTGTTAACTTTTCTGGGGATCAGAAAAGTAATGGTAGGAGGTAGGAATGATCATGCAATCGCTGATGCTCTACAAGCGATGGCTCAGGCTCTTGGTAATATGAACCAACGACCAGAGGTAGATTGATTGGAGAGATTCCAATGAAAAAATCCACCAAGTTTCCGTGGGGGTTATAATCATGATGGAACTGCTGACTGGATTTTTGAAG